AGGTTCACAAACAAAAGACTGTGGAAAGCAATAAAGACAAATCAATCAAACCAAAAATCACTAAATAACAGAATCATAACCTCTTATCTAAAAGATCAAAGGTAATGAACAACTGGTACTACAGAACTGACACGCAAAGCAGACTTGTGTTAGTACAAACCCTATCTCTAATTCTGATGGAGAACAAACCTTGTATATGTTGGGGGCCCTGTCTGTGCTATCTTGCAAGTTGCCTAAATGGCACATGCCACCAATTGAAAACTCAATAGAAACTTTTTAAAAAATGTATTTAGTATAGAACATTAATAAAGCTTAATAAATCAGAATATTGGTACATACAGGGCAATATTTTAAAGAAACTCTTCAAAGAAAATTATGTGACCAGTTTGATTCACTAGACGTGAGGCCCAAAACAGATGATGAATTTTGCCCACTTTAAACTACACAAAAACCTTGCAGCTTTAGTCCCAGTTCATCTTAGTTTAACCTGCATTTGAATTGGATGACTATTACCATTGCGAACAGACAAGTTCACTAGAGAGAACAAACTATGCAGACCAAAAATGGAACACACTATACCAGGAACAGTTTGCTACATTAATAGTTTAAAAGTAATAATAATAATCTTTGCATTTGATATAGCGCCTTATCACGTATTCGAGACGTCTCAAAGCGCCACAGACTATATTGTTAAGTGAATTGACTGCATATTGTATGAGTGAAACGCAGCAGCCAATTACACACAGAGTGTCCCACAAACAGTCGTGGACTGAGTGATCAAAATGATTACTTTTTTATTTAAAGGGATTATTATCCGAGATCTGCCAATCATTGTTGGGCAAACAGAGGCGTGTGGAATGAGGAAACTTGCCTATCATTTCGCACCCACCACCACCCCCCCAACCCCCAAATTCCTTAGTTTATCAATACGATTAAACTTAGTTTTGTTCAAGGTGTGCTTACCTTTTATACATAAGAGATCTGAAATAAAAATTTGAATTGCCATGAGTTCTGCATCTGAAGAAAGATTTAGTTCCAACAGTTTCTAAAGTATTTGTTCGGTTTAGCACAACATAAGATTTAAGCCAATTTTGATGTAAACATGTAAGTGCCACCAATAAATTTACACAATTGAAGCAAGATGCAAGAGTAACAATTGCACATGCTTTATGTTGAACACTGACAAGTGTATGAAAACAGTAGAGGACAATGAATAGCAATTTTCTCATTTTTGTGGATAAATTAGGTATTAGGTAAATGGTTACAGCAATAGCATTTGGAACAACTAGAAAGAAATTCACTGGACAATTTACACACTTTAGCAACTGCTTGCCCTCCACCGGGGGGTGGGGAGGTGGGGTTTCAGGGGTAAATGGGATCTCCTTGGAGCTGAATTGCTCCAAAGTGACATGTCTGTCAACGGAATATCAGAACCAAGCCAGCCCTCCATGGCGGTCACAGTAGTCCGGTTTCTGAGCCAGTGGGTCCGCAGTATTCCAGGGCACAGCTGATAATAGTACAGCCCAGCCTGGCTCATCGGCAGGACCTGGAAGGGCAAACCAGTCAGTGAGGGCAGGGAGTCATCCCACTCAGCTCCTGTTAACCCTGCAACCCAAAGCCCCAATGAGTAGGGTGGTCCTAGCTGGAAGAGCAGTGGGAAAGCAGTTACCCCAACGCACACCCTAGGGTCCCCAAGCCTTGGTTCTTGCCATCCTGTGCCTAATACTTTCTGGAATTATGTAAGCAGGATGGGTCCCTCCAGAGAGTCTACATTCCATTCCAACAATCTATCTCTGGGATTTCCATGTGTTGGTGGGATGCATGGAAATCTCAGCTTGATTTGGTTACTTTTATACTCGGTGATGAGTTTCTGCATGTGTCAGACACTGGGCTGACCAAAAAAAAATCCACCCCCCCGACCCCATCCCAAAATGGACAATGTAAAACTGTAATCTGATCGCTCCAAATGAAGTAGAGAACACATGCACCTAGAAAGTTGACTAAATACATTTTAAGTTAAAAAAAATAAAGGTAATCAAGTTAGTAAAGGAAACTAGTAAAAACTCAGTAAGGATAGAAATAAGCCATTCAAGTGACTTGAGCTTGTCAATGTTCAAATAATAATAATCTTTGCATTTGATATAGTACCTTAGCACATCAACGAGACAAGAACAACAAATTACATTTGTATTGCACCTTTCACGTCAGGAAAACGTCCAAAGGCGCTCGACAGTCAGGGATCCATACCCGAGCTGGTAGTTGGGATCAGGAATAGTGAACTGAATGTACATTTTGTGTGCTGCCAATTGCGCACAGCATGTCCCACAAACAGTCGTGGATTGAGTGACCAAATCATTATTATTTTGTTAAGGGATTACTACCACCGGAAAGCGATACGGCAATCGACTAGGAACTGGGCTTCTACTTACTGATAGGTAAAGAGGCGTGTGGAGTAAGGAAACTTGCCTACGGTTTTGCCCTGCTGACAGCATTGTATTGAATTTATTTTCATATGTCTGAATTAAAATACATCATTCAAAATATTAACAAGACTGAACTCGCAGCAGTTTGGTTTGGAAACTCCTTTAAATAAGTTGATGGGTTTCTACATAGGTCCACAGACAGATGCCAAAAAAAAGGATTCAGCTTTTATCTGCTAAGTGTCCTGCAAAAATCTTGGCGATTCTTTCAGTTTCCTTTTCAGGTAGTTCTGCTGTTGTTAATCTAGGTTTTGGACTGTTGCTGTGTTGAGCAGCAGGTCTAGACATCCCTGCCATCTCACTTGAATCTTTTGTAGCTGCTTGATAGTAATCAGGAAATAAACTGTTATAATAATTCTGTGGATGACTGAACAGAAGAAATAAAACACTACAAAACACTATTTTAGGGTTTCAAGATCTGGGAAACCTTTAAAAGCTGCTTCAGAACTAACTAAAACTATTGTGGCTAACTATTAGATGACAAAAATAATATATTCACATTTGCTATTATTTGAGGGGTGCAGTTAGTGGAGATTAGCTACTGTGTTTGCTTATTAAGTGATGACCCGCTGAGTTGCATTCGAAAAAATTAGAGCATCCTCGGGATGTTGGCGACACTGGCAATGCTGGCAGAAACAGTACTTATTGCTCACCCCTAATGCCTTGGAGAGGAATTTATTATTGGTGTTCCTGTGATGACAATGCTCAGCAGCAAGTAATTTGAGACATTAACATGATCCTCGTATTTGGTTTATCTCAACAAAAGCCATAATACAGATGGGCATAAAAATTAATACAGATTATCCAGGAAACAAATTAAATTAAAGGTGTTCCAATTCTACCCAATTTGTTCCCTTGGTAATGAAATTGGTATCACAGTGTGAGATTTCTGACTGTGAAGATTGGCTTTTTGGGAGAAAAAGATCAGATTTAGAATGCGTGTATGGATAAAGATCGTAAAGTCTTTCAATACGTTGATACTCATTTCTGTAACTGAATAAATGCACCAGTATCCAAATACTTATCACTCTCTGTACTTATTTTCCAACAAGAATGAATGTAGACATGTCTGTCCGCTTCTAAATAAGCTTTAGATATTGAAAGTTATCCCGGTCGTGCCTAGAAGAAATGACACCACAACAGCTCCCAGTACAACCGTGTTCGTAAGGTCAAGCAAATCCACTGTTACAATTGACTTATTTCTCTCCAATCCCTTTCCCCTCTCCTCCCTCCTACTATACACAGTATCAGAATTTAAGATTAGGGATTTTCCCCCATTTGTACATTTCTTCATCAAGTGTTACAATGAGTCAATTGATGGGTATTCATTTTTTTTCTTTGAAATTTTCACAATGATCCAATTGNTTTTTTTCAAAAATTTTAAAAAAGTTACCAGTTCAACCCAAGACGGAGAGAGAGAAAAAAAAGAGTTTGTTTTGTGAGAGCTCCACGGTGTGTGGTTATGATGAGAAAAGAAATACGAACCGATTCTGGTCCAACTCTACAACCTTTGTACAACACAATCTTTCTCCTTTCAAGCCCCCTCCCCAACCGAGCCCCTCAATACAACCAAATTCATCATCATCGGAATAATTGTGCTGTTTAAAATTCACGTTAATAATAAAAAAAGAACTGTGGAAGAGCGGAGGGGGGGGGGGGTGGTCGTGGGGTTAGAGGGATCTTTTTTAAAAAAAGTTATAGAAATAAAAGCCAACACGCTGACACAAAAAACACACACACACACTCAACCACGTTACTTGTAGTTTTCCGACGAATATAATAGATTCCTTCAAACACAGATTAGAGAGTCACAATGACAAAATACTGCAGAGGCTGGAAATCTGAAACAAAAACACAGGAGTGGCCGGGAACGCTCAGCGGGTCAGGCGGCATCTACGGCGAGAGGAAAGCGAGCGCCGACGTTTCGTGGGCCCGCGACGCGACCCTTCGGCGGAACTCGTCTGTACGACGAACCGCAGCCCCGAGGAAGGGCGGTGGACCCCGGAAACACCGACTGACTGGCTTTCCTCTCCCTCCATAGGGCTGCCTGGGGTTAGGGTTGGGGTTAGGGTTAGGCGGGCGTTCCCCGGACACTCCTGGGGTTCTTTATTCGGGGGCTGTGGGGTGGGGAGTGGGGGTCACAAGATCAGATAGTTCTGTTTTAGGAAATAACATCATGGGATTACAGTACATTCGGCACATGTGTGTGTGTGTGTGTGTGTGTGTGTATGTGTGTGTGTGTGTGTGTATGTGCCACCGCCAAGGAAACCGAGATAGATGGAAGTGGCCGAGAAACAGTCAGCGGGTCAGGCGGCAACTATGGAGAGAGGGGAAAGCAGTCCGCCTTCCGATAGGGGGTCCCGCCAGGACCTGAGGCAGAACCACACAGGTGGCCCTCTCTCTCTCTCTCGCTCTTTTTTTATTATATATATATGTGTGTGTGTGTATCTATATCTATATGTGTGTAATGTGTATTTGGTTCCCTGTCGCGGAGCGTCCCGTCCCGTCCCTCTGACCTACCGCAGCTCTCCTGCTTGTCGAGGCTCACGCCGTTGAGGCTGCTGGAGGCCACCAGGGTGTTGCTCTCCTCCCGCTCGCAGTTGGAGGCGCCGTTGCCGGCCAGGTTCTCGGTGTCGCTCCGCTTCTTCCTCCGCAGCGAGAGGCCGTGCGAGTGGCCGTGTCCCAGCAACCCGCCGCCTCCTCCCCCCCCTCCTCCTCCTCCTCCTCCGCCGCCATCCCCGCCGTCTCCACCACCACCTCCTCCTCCTCCGCCGCCGCCGCCGCCGCCGTGCTCGTGGAACATGAAGAGCCCCAGCACGTTGATGAGCAGGCCGGCCGCCCCCACGCCCGTCACCACCAGCGGCTTCTCGATCTCCTGCGGCTCGGTGAAGCGCTCGATGGCCTCCAGCACGATGGTGAAGCACAGGGCGGTCAGGAAGACGGCGTTGACCAGCGCCCCCATCACCTCGGCCCGGATCCAGCCGAACGTGTTCTTGGCCGTCGACTGGGTCTTGGCGGCGAAGCGGACGGCGATCAGGGCCACCACCAGGGCGATCACGTCCGACAGCATGTGGAAGGAGTCGGACAGCATGGCCAGCGAGCTGGTCATCCGGCTGACCACCACCTCCACCACGAAGAAGCCGAACGTCAGGGTCAGCATGCACATCAGGCGGAGCCGGTTCGGCTCGCACCCCATGGCGGTGGCTCGGGGCGGGGGGGGAGGGGGGGTGTAGGCGGTGTGGGGGGGGGAAGGGGGCAGAGGGTGTGGGGGGGGGGGGTTCGGGTGAGGCTCAGTCGTCGCCGCACCTCCCCAACCCCAACAACAACGACAACACTCACTCACTCGCTCGCTCCCCTCTCACTCCCTCCTCTCCCTCAACCCCCCACCACCACCGACCCGACTCGACCGTCTTCTCTCTTCTCTCTCTCTCTTCTCTCTCCCCCCCTCTGACACCGACGCCGACCGAGAGCGGGGGCGGGGGGGGGGGGGGGGGCGGGGGAGGGAAAGGGGGGAAGACGATGACGAGGTGAGAAACGACGACGACGAAAAAAAAATAAAAAGAAAATAAAATCGATCGATCGATCACAACGATCGCCGAACCAACGGCCGTTTAAACTTTCTTTTCAAACCCCCCCCACCCCCACCCCTTCCTCCCTCCCTCCCCTTCCTCCTCCTCCCCCCTCCCCCACTCCTCCTCCCCTCTTGTCCCTCTCTCGCCCCTGTACCTCACTCCCTCCCCCACCCCCCCCCCCCCCACACACACACACACACAACCGAATCCCCAAACGGCGGTTACGGCCGTTATTTTTCAAAAAAAATTCAAAATATATACGTTTATATATATATATAAATAAATAAAATCTCTCTCTTTTCTTTCTTGGAAGATCACGATCCCGAGGGGGAGTGGGGGGGGTGTGGGGGGAGAGGTATCGAAAGTTCCCCCCTCCTCCTCCTCCTCCTCCTCCTCTACCCTCCTTTACCTCCTTGTCTCTCTCACTCCTTTCTCTCCTTCTCTCCCTCCTCTCTCTCCCTCTCACTCCTTCTCTCCCTCTCTCTCCCTCCTTCTCTCCCTCTCACTCCTTCTCTCCCTCTCACTCCCTCCTTTCTCTCCCTCCTCCTCTCCCGCTACCTCCTCCGCTCTCTCCTTCTCTCCCTCTGTCTGTCGGTCGGTCGGTCCCTCTGTGTCTCCTTCCTCTCCTCTCCTCTCCTCGGCCCCGTTCTATACCCGGAACTGCTGTGCGGGAGGACGGTTTTTATGTACATTTAAAAAAAAACTTTTGCACCCGACAAGTTTCTCTCTCTCTCTCTCTCGCACTCACTCACTCTCACTCTCTGCGCACGGCTTCTCCAACCCCCCCCCCCCCCATTACCCCCTCCTCCCTCCTCCCCCTCCTCCCTCCTCCCCCTCTCGCCCGCTCTCCTCTCCCCGCGCGAGGACCCATTTGCGTGGCGTGGGGCCGCTAACGGTCACCCCTCCCCTCCCTCCCTCCCTCTCCGCCCCGCCCCTCCGCCCCGCCCCCCACCCCCCCCCGGGCGCCGGACCGATTGGTTCAAAGCGACACGACAAAGCGCGGGGGGGCGGAGGGGGTGGGACGGCGGCCACGGGAGCACGCCTGTCATTCGCTAAGCGCGCTGTCAATCATGAAAGTCCACGCCCCGCCCCCCACCTCGCTCAGCCGTTCCCCTCCCGCCCACCCGCAGCCCGATTGTGACGTGCGCACGGTTCGCACCCGCTGTCACTCTCCTCCTTTAGCCCCTCCTCCTCCCGCCCCTTCCCCCCCCCCTCCCTCCACCGCTTCTTCTGGGCCTTTCAATCAAGCGGGGGGGGGGGCGGTGGAGGGGGCGGCAACTGACTCGTGACTGGATCAAAGGCGCCGTCAGTCAAATGACGTTTCGCGCTGGAGGTGGAGGGCGGGCCCTCCCCGGCCCGCCTGGCCTTTGTGACGTCACCCGCCCATTTGAGTCCCCTCTCTCTCTCTTCTCTTCCCCCCCCACGCCCCGCCCTCCCCGCCGACGCCCCGCCCCCCCTCTCCTCCGATCTGGTCTCCGCCCCCTCCTCCTCCTGATTGGTCCTGCCGTCTCCCAGGGTTACCATTCAGGGAATTCCTGAGCTGTCAATCACCAGGGGTTTTTACACACCGCCCTTATTAAAAGGGGCACGACACCCCCCACCCCCCCCCACACCCCACCAAACAACCCCACCCCCCCCACCACGGTTTGGGGTTCGCTCACGGTGACTCAGCAGCCGGCTTTGCACGCAGTAACGTCGGAACAGCAACAACAACATTGCCCGTGCACGGCGCCTCTCACGTCGGGTGGACGTCCCAAGGCGCCGGCCGGACAGAGTTTCGGACACGTGGCTGCGGGTCGGGATCGGGCAGGGCAGAGGGCAGTGGGGGCGGGGGTGGGTGGGTGGGTGGGTGGGGGGGGGGAAGGAGGGTGATCGAAATCACGGTCGAAGAGGAGGGCCTTGAGATGGGTCTTGAAGGAGGCAAGGGAGGGGGGAGGCGCAGGGACCGCGGGATGGAGTTCCAGAGGGTGGGGGGGGGGCAGAGCGGCTGAAGGTCCGCCCGCCAATGGTGGGGCGGGCGAGGCGGGGGATGTGAAGCAGGCCAGAGCCTGCTGAGCGGAGGGAGGGAGCGAGCAGGGGGTTAGGGGGTTAGGAGGTTGCAGAGGTAGGGGGGGAGCAAGACCATGGAGGGCTTTGAACCTGAGGACCAGGACGGTATGATGTGTGATGGGAAGCCAGGAACACAGCAATGTCTCACAAACAGCCACGAAATGATAGACAGGGCAAAATATTGGGCAAGTTTCCTTACTCCACGCTCGCCTCTGTTTGCCCATCATAAGGAGGAACCCGGTTGTTAGTCGATTGGCAGATCGCTTTCCCGGGGATAATAATTGCTTCAAAAAAATAATAATAAATTGTTCACTTCAACCCACGACTGTTTGCGGGGACGCTGCTGTGCTCAGTCGGCTGCCGCATTTCGCCCACAAAATACGCAGTCAATTTACTTTACAGTATATTCCGTGAAGCGCTTTGAGACGTCTCGGAGATGTGATTATTATCAATTTTATCCGATTGTTTGCCCTTGACACTGGAAGGAATTCCCCTTTCTTTTTAAATAGCGCCATGGGATCCACCTGGCGTTTCAGTCTGTGAGATCAGATGTCATCTGTGGCATACTTTAAAGTGCCTGCAACTGAAAGGAATGTTGAAAAGCACGGAATAAGTAAAGCCATTCAGTAATCCACTCCCTCCACAGTTCTCACGCGAAACTTTGAATTAATTAATTCCTCCCACTCTTGGCGAAAATGCTGCAGAGGTCGTTCTGAATATTCGTCTATTCGCGTGCCTCCATTCTTCAATCCTGCCCTCCTCCCTCCCACAAACAACAGCCAATTCGACATTTGTGGTGAAAAAACACAAGGTATTTGGGAGGATGAGAATCGCAAGCCACTTTCTCTTTAGTTTTCAGCCAAACATTTTAAACAAATCCGCGGAAACTCTTTTCATTATTTCTCCTTGCTTGCCTAACGTGTCTCATACTAAATAAGAAACAAAGGAGAAAAATAGCCTCTGGGAACATGTACTTATTTAGGATCACAATCTCAACATTATTTTCCAACATCTGGTCGACCTTGTTTCTGAACTGGGAACAAATGAACAGCGACTTACACTTACCAAAACGTTGTCACGTACTCTGAAATGTAAATTGGCATAATAAGCACTATATCAAATGCAAATATGACATTATTATTTATACATATATTGATACAGTAGTTAGTACGTAGACCCCATCTAGTGGCCATTCTCCTGCCTTATGGTATCACAGGTCCGCATTTATGTGGTGACGAATGATCTTAACTTGTTTTTAGAGACCGCAGAATGAAACGGCATTGATTGGAGCACTCTATTGAAAAAAATGCTAACGAAACATGTGTGTAACGTCAATTGGAACAACCTCTCTCGCCTGACAGTTTAATATATTGATTTCCCTTGTTGGACTCTTTGTTCTGGGAACGTTCCTCACTCGTGACACGACGTGAGTGTTAACTTGCAAGAATCTTTTCGGTAGACAACTAAGTGTAGCGCTTCTGACAGCGATTGTGATACCGATGAAACGTGCTTGAAATCTGCTTGCAAGTTGATAAGATGGTAACTGTACAGTCTGGGCGTCCAGGAAAGAATGTTCATCTTAAACCGTTTGGGAGAGGATCAATCCGAAACATTAATATGAATATAAAAAATAAAACCGGACGGACTTGAATGTATTTGTGTTCAATTATTCGCAATGAAAGTCAGGGACTGGGTGGTTCAGTAAATAGGCAATGCCATTGNTTTTTCCTCTGAAACTCAAGTGTAAGTGAAATAAAAATAAAAATAAGCCCCCGACTTCCATTGAACTGTAACTAGCCCCACACACAACTTTCCATATTAACCAGTGCCCCAGAAAAGGTGGAAGCAAATAAAATGATTGTTATAATTATATGACCATCACCATTTGAAGCCCCTTTGCTTTCTCGAGACGCGTGTAGGGATTGATACGCTGAAAACTTGCCTGCCCGTACACCGCTATCAACCCCAACCACAGAAAAAGTTGCTTTATGAGTAATAATAAGGTCCCTTCGCTTGTTCATTTGGGTATAAGTGAAACACGAGATGTGTCAGACAGAGGCCGCGCATGTGACCTGAACAGCAGAGTGCAGCCTTCGAGTTATTATCTGGCATTTCTTAGAGGTTCACTACACTGCAGGTGACCAAAATAAAACGGATATTTTTGTCTCTTAGCTTTCTGGCAGAACAATTATTCAATTTCCAGAACCTCTTGAGGATCCTCCATAGTTGACTCCAATCTTACCACAGAGGCCGAATGCAACTCTGAGGTCTGTCAGTGGGCGTAGTGATGATACAATAATAATAATATAATAATATAATAATAATAATAATAATAACGCTCAATGTCCTTTTGTTTTTGGTGGTTGATCCAGACACGGAAGACTCGACAATTCACTGCACGAAGAGCATTTTGTGCGGAACCGATAGCATGAGAGTCGTTGGTGAGGTAGAGCAACGCAGTCATGGGTTGTAAGAAAAAAAACATTAGCAGATTATATTTAGTAGTGACAAAACTCTCTGGCATCCTACAGCTGTTTGCCTACAGTGAAGTTAAACAGGGAGTCTCAGCATCAGTGATTCTTAGCAAATGTTCAAAACAATTCGGATTAATTTTCTGATGTTCTTTAGGGAGGGGTGATGCTCGTCTGTTGTGTATTACAAATATCGGACAGATTTTCGGACTGTTGATAATTTTAGCGAGTGGAATAGTGCAATGTGGGCAATGTTTTGGGTGATAGTGATAACAAGGTTAATTATTATCATCCTCCATAATTAGTATCATTTACCAGTAAATGGTAGCTGTCTGTGAGCTAAAACTACCAATTTAACCTTTTTTTTTCCGGGAGTAGATGGACCCACCTCGTGTTGCACTCGCCACAGCCCATTGTTGGGCTTGAACCCGCCATCATCTGATGGAAAATGTGATCTATTGGGCCGAGCTGACCAATGGCTTCATGAAAGACTGCAGACTCCGCACAGACTTCCAGCCTTCATGTGAGGACCACAGCATAAACGGATTCAGAACGTCAATGAGGGAGGGGACTTGTGAACTTTGTTGCATTGGTTCCGTTTCGCCACTTTGCTGAACCACATCATAAAAACACAGCCGAAGAGAAATTACGGCAAATTGAGACCATTTTAATATTAAATTTACGATGCACTGATCTAAAATCTAGGCCCTGCATCAATAAACGGAATCATGGAACTCATTTCCTATAAAATAAATGAGGTTTCAAGCACAAGCCACTGTTATAAGGTATTTTCATTAGTGTACTGCATTTTTAAAGGTATAACTGCTTCTGTCGGATTTTAATTTGTACTTCTCAGCAGACAAACAAGAACCAACATCTGCAGCTGATAGATGAGATTATTATACTCCAAGGAAGGTTTCATTACTTCTCAAGGTCACAAAAGTAACAACCGCTATAAATCTTTTGGAAGCAATGACTGAATGCATATCGCATACCACATACCGACGCCAACAAACTGTAACCCAAAGAAATCCTCGGGCATTGTGTGTGTTCTTAACTTGTCGAGATATTTGGTTCAGCGAGGACAGTAAATCAAGAATGCATAACAAAGAGTTTTGGGATGTGATTTAAATCCCACATAAGGGGACTAACCTGAAATAATCCAGCAATGCTCACTGCTAAAAGTGGAACACAAATCATATTCTCTGCTGTTCTAGGTAATCAAAATGAAGTCTAACAAAACAATAGGGTGGTGCACATCAGTTCCAGTTAAATTGCTGCACTAGAGGGGGGGGAAAAAAAATCAGGCTGATGGTTTATTTCGATTTAAAACTGCTTCTCGGGAAGCAGTCAATGATGTGGAAATTCAATTGGTGTGGGTGGAAAAAATTGTTCCGGCTATTGGGCTATGAGATAACAAGCTCTTGAAGGAAATGAAGGTCCTTAGAATTGATAATCAAATGCAAGGATTATTATCATAACCATTTCGCTTGATATAGCGCCTGATCACATCTTTGAGACGTCTCAAAGCGCTTCACAGAATACACTGTAAATTGACTGTATTTTGTGGATGAAACGCGGAGGCCAATTGCGCACAACAGCAGCGTCCCACAAACAGGCGCGGATTGAGTGACCAATTTTTTTCTCTAAAATAGGGAAACCTGGGTCGCCTACTGCTTTACTCTGCATAGAGTCCCAGTCCAACCCAGAGAAAGATCTGCTACTGTTGATATTGCTATTTTAGCTTGCTTATTGCCCGAGCCAAAAAAAAAATCTCTCTCCCCCATATAGTCATGAAGCAATCCTCTTAGTCCTGACTATTCCCTGAGGCACAAACATTGGCTGAAGAATATCGTATTTACAAAAGGAAAATAGTAATTCCCAAAAGAAATACACGGATTACATCTATGGCTATGAACTAGAAAGCATTTGGGAAATTTAAAAATAAGATCTTTACAAAAAGGAAAAAAATCAACTGCAGTCAGATAGTTGAATGAAAAATAGAAAATAATTTTATGACAATCATGGTCATAAGATTTCTTTACATATACATATGATCAAACAAATGAGACATTTATACATCCATTTTATAATAGTCAGAATTTTTTTATAAAAAACATTCACAATAGTTGCCACATCTCATTATCTACATATATACTGTAAGGCATAAAACTTACAAAACAAAGAAAGTTATAGTAATGTAATAAAAATCTAATTAAAATTGTTTGACAGTTTACAATGTGTTCAGTTCAGCTTTACCAGATAACCTAGTTACATTGTAGGTAAGATGGATGTTTCTTGCACACTTTTGAGTAGTATAATCTTAAAAGGTCCAGGGTGCAGCAATTTCATTTGTCAGAAGTGATAAAATGTATAGATGGACAGCATGTGATTTGCATTGTTGTGACAATGATAGTCTTTTAAATGCCTAACAGATGATAATCAGTGACAAACTTAGAAGCGATAGGTGTAGTTCAAGGCTAAAATAAGCAAGAGGGTATTCAGTGATGAAACTCAGAAAGTAAGTGAAAGAAAGTTGATGGCCGCAGAAGCCTTGTGTGAATCTTACTTTCTGCAAGGAATTCTACAACAGCTTGGCTCTAAAAGGACAAAGTATGTGAGCGCTGGGCTGTTTAGTCACTTGGCTTGAGCCAAGTATTAAGGAATGGGAAAAATGAAAGACGTGGATTGCACCACCTTTTGTAAACAGACGATTTCTTAGACTAATGCTCTAATCCAGAGCTAGAAAACTTTTTCAGTGTGTGTATTTAATTTAATAAAAATGTATTTTACTGATTAGATTAATTACCGCATACCCAAAAGTTGTCTGCTTTTTAGTTGGTAATTTCTCTCCATATCACACAGTGCTCTGGCACGTACGTTAGCAGCTTGTAAACGCTTCTTCAGATCTAAAGTCTTTGCTTTATTAAGAAGTGGCTTTGCTGTATCATATTCTTTGAAGTGAATGTTTTCTTTACTTTCTCCTGCAAAGTGAACTTTCTTTTTCCCCGGTGAGCAATTTACGGAATCATCTAGAGAGAAACCAGAATAAAACATTAATTCTATGCACATGTTTTTATTTGTTTCACCTTTCTATAATGGAACGCACAATAGGTATATTTAAGTCAGAAATAAGCTCAGCCTAAGTGTGTACAGCCTTACTTAAATAGAAAATTGCTGGGGGTGGAATGATTTAGGGCGGGGAATGAAAGAGGTAATGAAACGGAGGTTGAATATATGGTGAGGAGCAGACTTTTGTTTTTGAATAAAATGTTTGATCTCAATTTTGTTTTGCCGATTTCCTTCTCTCCAATAACCTGGTTACTGTTCAAAACAGACAACCAGCTTCAAATACTTCACTCAAGTCTCAAGTATTGGTGGTTTGACATCACATAGAGCACAACATTATTCCTACTCAATGGGAACTTTCCAGCAGAAGTTTCTAGGTTGTAATCAATAGCAGAAAGCATAGCGAATTGTTCCCTTCCTAATCAGGCCAATTGCAGCACTTCTGCTGCAGTTCTGGCTAATAATAGGCGAGCTGAATAGACTCGAAACAAAGCCTGCAACGTTCTGGTCTGTATGGTTATCAATACATTTTTTGAACAGTTTGACTCTGCTATAAGTAAGTTGCTTGAACTTTTTTTGTTTTTAAAAAAAAGGTTTATAGTACTGCCAATGAACAATAGTGTTCCTCTCTCATTACAATACTAACATACTTTGTGGAACAAACAGTTCCATTCTTTCTCTTCCACCCCTCCTCTATGATTCAGAGGAAAACTTGAAAACTCTCTCACTCATTTCCCCCCCTTTCCCAAAACCCATCGCTATGAAAATGAGAAACAGAGCCACATTGGGTGGAGCACATGTGAAGGGAATTACCAGGTTCTTCCACCAAAAGCAAATGGATGTTTTTTTTTTCTTTTAACAGGGCTTTTCTGTGGAGCTCAAGGCAGGTATTCAAGAGGTTAGAGCACCATGAATAAATATGATACTAATTGTAGAGTCATCTTCCTCTTTAATTTCACAAATAATTAAAGAATTAATGTGTAAAAAGTACCACATCCAGTATACAATATAAAAAGCCTTCCCGTTGCATTCTGAACAGGTAGAACAGGAAGTTCTCAACCATTGCGGCAATCAAAACATTAATAAATTGCAAGAGGAAAGTGGGGTGGGAGTTGCATTTTCTAATTTTAAACCACGACTTTATTGGAGTATTACAATTAAAATTCAGAATATAAATTCTTATGACGGTTATAAAAAAATATTTTCCAACTAGAAATAATTATTACATATGTATAAGCTAACTAATAAGCAACACAGTATTCCTGCTGACAGTTCTGTAGACTTAGTCTACCCAGCAATGATGGAATAGATGATACGATATTCTGAAATTTCCAGACTGGCTACTGGGCTTCACACACGCTAACCATTCATTAGAACAGTCTCTTTAAAGGACTTTCATGAAGTAATATATGAAGTAATCACACGTTCACTGTGGCCCAATAAGGAACGTTTGTGAAGTCAGAACTTGAATGTTAACCTTATGAAGTAATATTTAAAACTAAAAACTGACTCCCTTTAGCCCAAGTTAACTTCTTTGCTTTCTTCACAGACACAGCGCATTGAATGGACTGAGCTTAAAAACTGCTTGTGGCTTGCAGAAAATTTAATTAGTGACTCAACTTTGAAGAAGATAAATAAAATGATTAAAATAAAAGAGCCTTATGAAATGCAATTTTGAAATTTAAAAAACCCTATAGTAAATGGTTAAAAAAAAGTTCTAGTTTCCACCTTTCCTTAAATATCTTTCCCTATAGAACTAAAATATCCCTCACCTTTTCGCTGTGAGTGTGTCACATTTAACATTTTATGACAACTCGATTTCAGGGAGCTCCAGACCACACTACCACTCCATCCAGTGATAACCCTGAACTACTGGAAGTTATCAGCAGCAATGTATTGATATTTCAAAACAGATACACAACTTGATAGATTCAAATATAGATTAGATTCCATTTGGTTCAGTATTACACAAGTCACAGTGAAACAAGTCACAAGAATCCATCATATGCACATTTGAGAATAGAGCCAAAGAAAATTAAACAATATTAAAGAAATTTGTTATGAGATGCAAAATTTGTTGAAAGTGTACTTAAATTCCACCAAAAGCTAAACAGAAGTTAGTATTTGTTATTTTGAAAGTTGTACACTCTGTTAATCGGTAGAAGTGGTTTTCTCCTCTGGTACTTCATACCTAATCCATTGACTGCAGTCTTGAAAATATGCTGTTCCTTCAGAAAACTGTAGTTCTTCATTAAGTTCTCTGCCCTGTTGAAAAAGTAATGGTTGTATGCGATTAATAGAACAGGAGTTTGGGACATCCTCCAGACGTGAAAAGCACCATATAAACGCAAATTGTATTGCAAAACGCTTTTTTTCCTTTAATATGACCAGTGATGTTTTTAAAGTTCTCCTCCCATCCCCCCCCGCTTCACATACACCTTATTGGGGGGATGGCACAAGGAGATATGGTGCAATAATTAAAAATAGATATACATTTTCAACATATGCAAAACACCTTCATTTGGGTTGCAAAATGCAGCGTTACACAAAGCCAATGCGCTTCAGATTTAAAAACTCCCATTTTTCAAAATTAAACACATTCTTACCTAGCAAGTTTTTCTTCAGACAGCCTCTCACGAATACAAAGTTCCCGCTCACGTTCTGAAACCATTACAAATATAGAAATAAATGTTACACATTTCACAATTGTACATAGAAAAACAATTTCTCTGCACAACACAATAATGGTTTCGTGTTGTGCTGAGAAATAATGGTTTTGGTATTCTGGAAGGATGAGACCAAATGTGCCAAAGAGTCTTTTATCTGAAAATCAATTGATCATCTTTAGTACAATCCATGTTTAACACAAAATATAAACAGGAAACTGTGCAAGTTAAAGGCAAACGGTACAATGAGCAGTATTATTGGAAACACAAGTGCCGCCTCACCACTACAAAAAAGTATTACTGCCATATCTTTTGGGATACTGACTTACAATTCAATGAATCCAATTCAAATGTATGACTTAAGGATAAAACCTACATTTAGAATGAAAACTGAAATAGTTAGCAAGAGTGCAAACACTGTAACTAAGTTTGATGCATTAAAAGCTATAAATGAACACAAATGCAATTACTTTCAAGCAGCTCTTCCCGTTCTTTCAATGCCTTCTCCCTTCTGTGCAGTTGTTCCTCTTTAAGTCTCAACTCCGACACTTGTGGGTCACTTTCCTGGAGTCGCTCATTTTCCACTGATCTTCGCCCTCGTCTTTCAAGCGAAATTATTCGTTGCTGCTCAGACACCACGTTAGCAATCAGGGAGTGCTGCATCAGTTCGTTCACAGAAGGCCTTAGATAATCCTGACAAATAAAAGGCAATAGAGCGTGGAGTACAAATCTTTTTTTAAAAAACTGCATCATTTTGTTAAAAACACTAAAATTTAATCAAGTTCCACACGCCCAGCAGGTACCACTACTCTGAAGTATTTAATTTTAACCTTTCGGTAGCAATTTGTCAGTATCTCCACCCAGCTGTTCCAAGGCTCAAGGAGGCATGCTAACAGCCTCCACAATCTATTCTCACTAGAGCAGAAAGCAAACATGTAATGTTTTTATGGAGCCAAAAATAGTTCAAAATTAATACAACCGATTAAATATGTTCCTACTAATGTTGCTATCCAGTTTGGGGCTGTCTGATCCACTGTTTGCTACTGGAGAACATTCAAAATAGCCCAGACAAGAACAAAAAAAAAGCCACAGAATCAATCCATTTCACTGATGCTAGTTTTCCCTATTGTTGATTTCGTATTATCCACTCTCTTCTATATTGACACATTGATTCCTAGAAGTAAAGCAAATCCTCCAGAATATGCAATCAGCCCCACTCTTCTAAGGTTCAATGCTGACCTGATTCCCAACACAAATGTTTTGCCTCTGTCGGCCCACTGCAATTTGGTTAAGCTCTCAATCAAAATTCAACATGAAACACCACATCAAAAGAAAAGCAGTTATAAAACTATCAAGCTCATCAACAAGATTGTCATTTGGGAGGAGAAAGAGAAACAGAAATGCAGAGCCTAATAATAATATGTAACAGAGCATATGGGAATAGAAAAAGCACATATACTTAAAAATGCAATGTAGAAAAGATATTTGAATAATTAACTGAAAGGTAAAGAAATAAAATACCAACCTTAAGGTGCAACATCTTGCTCACAATTTCATTCAGTTCCTCTGAAAAGCGAAAAGGGATTCGTCTAAACTTGCCATCCCTTATTTTCTCTGCTAATTCCTTCTGATTATATGCAGTGAAAGGTGGGCTTTATTTTAAGAAAGAAAATTCAGTGAAAGCTCCAAAATGGGAATCAAGGCAAAAATGCATCTTTCATCAGCATTACAACAGCAGCATATTATCGTACTTAATTTTCTGTTGCAGATTAAGCTAAAGCTTTTTTTCTTATATTAAGAAAAAGTCATTAGGAAAGTCAGTTCTGCAGATATACATTTACGAAACAAACAGTTTCACAAGAGAGCTAAACATCATATACAGGTGTTAGCACAAACTCTAAAACATCAATATTGCTCTGCTGCATCACCAATGCACTAGGATTATTTCATGCCAAAAGCAACAGAAAATACATTGCTTTGTAGATATGAAAACAAGTTTGGGTTTATCCTAAATCTTTAAATAATTCCAGATGAAGTTTGACTTTTTTTTTAGTAAATCAAATATCCTAACCTAAGGAATTCTAAAAACTTGGGTTTCCATTTCAGTTTTTAAAATTACAATACAACATTGGGAAGGACATATGGGGGGGGACAGAAAGAGAAGGAAATCATCTCATACTATCAAACTAGAGTCTCTTTTTACAGTCTCACGGAATGCAGAAATCTAAGTATCCACAAAAGAATTGTGGAGTTACAGGTTGCAAAGCAGAGAGCACTCCATTTCAGAGGTAAAATGCACAAACCCCCCCATTTTCCAGCTTCTGAAATAAATTGCTGATCAATGAAACTTTTGTATCCAATCTTTTTTTGTGGAAGTGAGGGGAAAAAGGAATAGAAAAAATAATTGATTACATAATTTCCAATTAAAATGAAAACTCATGTACAAAAGGAAATAGAAATCTTTGTACTTACGAAAGTGCACAAAGCTCATACAGCAAACATCCCAAGGACCATATGTCAGATTTTTCATTGTAGGACATGTGATTCATTTGTTCCTGCAAATCCACAAAACAAAAATGATTAATTGCTTATACATATTTCACTAGATAACTTGACATACATGTACAATCTAGTAAATCCTGTCACTCCAATGTGTTGTCTAATTATTCCATTACAATACATCTTAGTCAAAGAATATTAATCCTTACTTTGCATATGAGGCCTTTCATGCTAGAAGGATGCCTCAAAATGCTTCAAGGATACACTGTGACATAGACATGAAGGCGAGAGCGCTACAGCTGAGCCTGACTGATTCATAGGATCATAAGGAGAATTTTCAATGTTGCCAACATTTGCTAACAAGAACCTCATCCTTATGAAACACTTAAGACATTATCCTACATGAAGGACACTGTATAAAAGCAAGGCTTTGTAGCCATCTTACACATCAGAGGCGTGTACTTACCGGAGACATGTAATACGGAGTACCAACAAATGTCTTGGCAAAACTAGTGTCATGTTGCAGAATCCTAGCCAAGCCAAAATCACCTAATTTGACATTATGCTGTGCATCAAGAAAGACATTAGCAGGCTTGAGGTCCCGATGAAGCACTGTACGACCACTCTCACTGCGTCTGTGGCACTCATGCAAGGCCAGAACTATCTGAGCAAAAACCCGAAGGGCAAAATCCTCCTCTACGTAGCGTCTACAAGATGACAGAATATTGTTTCAGAAACAAAGAACTTATCAACATTTTCAATGAAAGAAAATAACTTACTAAAAAAGATTACGAACTCGGTCCAAATACCAAATACTGCCACAAAAATAAGCACCATATACATCCATTAAGGGCATATCTTCTGGTTTGTAACAGAGGATTAGCATCGGGGTCAGCAAATATAAATTGGATGCTTAAACTTAAAAATATACTAGTTAATGATTTTTTCTAGTACACCATCCTAGTTAACAGTTTAGATTTAAAAAATTCTAATTTAAATGGTCCTAGTTAAGCAAATGGAAAAAGTGAAAACTGCACTAAATTATTAACTTTTAAAACTTCAGCAATCATGACATTATACCTTGTTTTAAAAAAATTAATTCATGTTTCTACACAGGAAAAACAATGTACCTTTCTCGGATACACTTCATAATCAGACTGGCCAGGTCTCCTCCTTCACAGAACTCCATTACTATGTACAATGTTGTATTTGTTCTGTCAATAATACGATCATAATATCGAACAATGTTCGGGTGTTTCAGTTCACGCAGTAAGTTTACTTCCGACACAAGCATTTGCTTCTCTGTCTCAGTCATAGTTCCATAGTCCAGTTCCTTCCAGACAAGAACCTGCAAATAAAATCATTGAGGGAAAAGAGCATTACGAAACATTCCTTAGTAATTCTGAATTCAAAGCTCAGTGGATCATAGGGTTCATCCCGGGGTTACAAACTGGTATAAAGAATTTTATACAGTATATACATACATACAAACAAGGACAATGTAGGTTTTAGTGAAGTTGACCAACATTTCCCCCCACATACTGCACTATCACCCTGGATACATGATTATGCGATGAACAAACACTTTTACACACTCTCAGGAGCCAAGACCTAAAACCACACAAACCTCTCCCTCACATCTTCCTCTTGCAATAATAACAATAACAAAGAAACAAGAAGAGGGAGGTAAGACAAGCTACAAGCTCAGTGGTTAGAGCACTCGCTTTGCGAGCGAGAGACCTGAGTTCAATTCCAGGCAGAGGGCGAAACCTTGGGCAAGTTTCCTTACTCCTAATAATAATCCTCCAAAACCCAAAACAATAATAAATTGGTCATTTTCAATCCACGACTGTCTGTGGGACATTGCTGTGCGCAATTGGCTGCCGCGTTCGCCCACAAATATACAGTCAATTCACTTTACAGTGTGTTCTGTGAAGCGCTTTGGGACGTCCTCCCGACGTGAAAAGCGCTATATCAAATGCAAGGATTATTATTATTAACAACAGCAAACATTTGTATCGCATCAGGGGGACGTCCCAAAGAGCCGGACAGACTAAGATCCACACCTGAGCTGGTGGTCGGAATCGGGAGGGGTGGAGGGCGGGGGGGGGGTAAGGAGGCTGATCAAAAGCACGGTCAATGAGGAGGGGCTTGAAGGAGGCAAGAGAGGGGGCGAGGCGGAGGGACTGCGGATGGAGTTCCAAAGGGTGGGGGCAGAGTGGTTGAAGACCCGCACGCCAACGGTGGGGTGGGTGAGGTGGCAGGACGTGAAGCAGGTGTCAGGGCAGCAACAACCCCTCCATTACAAACAGTGATGGGGTCAGAGCAGCAACAACCCCTCCATTACAAACAGCGGGGGGTCAGAGCAGCAACAACTCCTCCATTACAAACAGTGGGGGGTCAGGGCAGCAACAACCCCTCCATTACAAACAGTGGGGGGTCAGGGCAGCAACAACCCCTCCATTACAAACAGTGGGGGGGTCAGAGCAGCAACAATCCCTCCATTACAAACAGTGGGGGGTCAGAGCAGCAACAACCCCTCCATTACAAACAGTGGGGGGGGGGTCAGAGCAGCAACAACCCCTCCATTACAAACAGTGGGGGGTCAGAGCAGCAACAATCCCTCCATTACAAACAGTGGGGGGTCAGAGCAGCAACAACTCCTCCATTACAAACAGTGGGGGGTCAGAGCAGCAACAACCCCTCCATTACAAACAGTGGGGGGTCAGAGCAGCAACAACCCCTCCATTACAAACAGTGGGGGGTCAGAGCAGCAACAACCCCTCCATTACAAACAGTGGGGGGGGTCAGAGCAGCAACAACTCCTCCATTACAAACAGTGGGGGGTCAGGGCAGCAACAACCCCTCCATTACAAACAGTGGGGGGTCAGAGCAGCAACAACCCCTCCATTACAAACAGTGGGGGGTCAGAGCAGCAACAACCCCTCCATTACAAACAGTGGGGGGGGGGGTCAGAGCAGCAACAACTCCTCCATTACAAACAGTAGGGGGGGGGGGGTCAGAGCAGCAACAACCCCCCTCCGTTACAAACTGACCGACTCACTCACTTTTCCATCCGACTTCCTCCTGATCTTCTGGCACCTTCCGTAAGAGCCCGAGCCGATGGTGTACATGACCTGGTAACTGTCCATCTGGGACGGCATCTCCCCCTCCCCTCCCCTCCCCCGGTACCCACAGGCTGACCCGCGCTCCGGCTCCCGCTGCTCCTCTCCTCTCCTCCTCTTCCACCGCCGCCGCCGCCGCCGGGAGATGGGAACCCGCTGTTTTTTTGTCGTGCCAGTTGCGTGGGGCCCAGTCGGGTTTGTTGCCTGGTGACCCCGGGGGTGGGATGGCGGCGGCGGCGGGTGACCGGAGGGGAAGCGGTGGGTGACCCGGTGCCCGGGAGGGGGTGACCGGGGGGGTTGGGTGACCCGGTGGCGGAGACGGTGAGTGACCGGGGTTTGGGTGACCGGGTGCCGGGCTGAGGCGGGGGGTGACCGGGAGGGGGTGACCAAGTGCCGAGAGGGGGGTAACCGGGTGCCGGGCTGAGGCGGTGGGTGACCGGGCGGGGGGTGACCGGGTGGGGGGCGGGCGGGGGGTGACCGGGTGGGGGGCTGAGGCGGAGGGTGACCGGGTGGGCGGCTGAGGCGGGGGGTGACCGGGTGGGCGGCTGAGGCGGGGGGTGACCGGGTGGGCGGCTGAGGCGGGGGGTGACCGGGTGGGCGGCTGAGGCGGGGGGTGACCGGGTGGGCGGCTGAGGCGGGGGGTGACCGGGTGGGCGGCTGAGGCGGGGGGTGACCGGGTGGGCGGCTGAGGCGGGGGTGACCGGGTGGGCGGCTGAGGCGGGGGGTGACCGGGAGGGGGGTGACCGGGTGGGCGGCTGAGGCGGTGGGTGACCGGGGAGTGGGGGGGGGGAGCGGGTGGCGGTTGGTCGCTGCGCTCCTCGCGCCGACGTTTGAAAAAGCCGTCGCGTGACTCGCGCTTCGCCGCCTCCGATTGGCTGCCGGGGACCCCGCGACCCGCGTCCTGATTGGCTGGAAGCGTCACAGCCCGCGGGCACCTCGGGAGCGGCGGCAGCGGCGGGAAATTTAAACAGAGGATCTTCTTTATACACTATACACACACACACACCCCCCAAACACTACCACAGTCACTGCCTCCACAGTTGCTTTAGTTACAGTGTATTACTGACTACACACATCACGACTGAAAACTCCCAATCGTTTGTGGGAGCCCTGCAGCTCAGCGGTCAGAGCTCTCGCCTCGCAAGCGAGAGAGGGACCGGGGTTCGCCTCCCGGCCGAATTTCCCGACTTCCACACGTCCTGATAACGATCAGAAAATAAAATTGGTCACCCCCCCCCACCGACCGACGACTGTTGGCGGGCCGTCTGCGCGCACAATCGGCCGCCGCGTTTCGCTCACAAAATAGGCAGTCAATCCACTTTACAGGACAGTCTTCGGTTCGTCTCAAAGCACTTCTTTGGATACACTGTGAAGTGCAGTGACTGTGTTATAATTTACAAGTTAATTTTTTAAATCAGGCCACCGTGCTTCTAACCTCTTGAACTCCCTATATACACACACCTGTCATTGTAACTACAGTATATGCATAGATTTAATGGCTATGTTGAAGTTAGTGGGTTAAATTACAAATAGACAACGATGTTCACTCATTAATTCATGAGTTAAAGGCATTCAAGGTTTGAAACTTATTGACTACTTAACTGAGCAAAAATCGTGTATTGAAGCGCTTTTTATGTGGTTCTCATTGTTTCACATTCCTTGTTGGACTTTACACTCTTGGAATTGATATATAAAAAAAATTCCCTTGTCACCCCATTCTTAACTCCATGCCCATTTACAGTCTTCTGAGGGTTTGTCGATTGTAATCTCAGGTCAGTTCTGTCCCTGCTGGAATTAAATCATAGCTTGTAGGTTTCCATTGATGAATGGTCCACATCAGGAGCAGGTAGACTACTTCATTTCACTATAAAACTGGTGTGGAATAAAAAGATTTAAGCTTCTTCAGCAGGAACTAGTGTTGAATATTTAGTATTTTCCTTTCCTCATCTCTTCTGAAAATAGCAAACACCCAAGGATCAATACCCAGAGTTAGAAGAATGTGATGTTTTCAGTTCCAGTTGTCTTTGTTAAGGTTGTTTGGCTCTGACTGGTGGGGGAGAAAGGGTGTAGTTCCAAGCAAAGACAATACTTTAAAGAGAACTTGGATAACTGAGCACCCAATGGATGTATTAAAGTGCACTGAAAGATTCCCTACTGAACAACATTCAGAAATACATCTAATACATATATTGTATGCTATAGTAAAAAACTGCCTTTGTAGGCGGATGTTAACGATGCCATGCCACTACTTGAAAAGAGAAGAGAATTATGTTTGGTATTCTGACCAACAATCTCCCAGGAAGAAATGGTCATTCATGGCTGTTTGTGGGATACTGCTGCGTGCAAATTTACTGCCACATTCAGCTACAAAATATAGTCATCATACTTTACAGTGAAATTACTGTGAAACATTTGAGACATCCTTCCAACATGAACAGTGCCATATCAAATACAATTATTATTATTGTAATATGAAGTATTGAGTGATACAGAATGTTGTGATCTATGATTGCAAACTTGTCACTAGATGGCAGTAATTCCTTATTCGGAATAGAATCTAATTGCTGATTTCCCACATTAATGATCACGTTTTGTTTCAATGTTTTTCACATTTTTAAAAATGAAAAGTGAGCGTCTGATTTTCTCATGCTATTTTGTGAACCTTATCAAAATAATATTTTTTATAAGCACCATTGCATAAAGCAATGCTATTGTTTTTCGAAGTGCACGAATAATTTTTTCGACACAGCTTTCTCTTATCCTTCACCACAAACATTTTCCTTGGTAAATCAGTGGCTGCTTTCATTCACCAAAAAAATCAGCAGACACAATGCACTCAGAAGAAGTTACAGGAAACTTATAGGAAAAGATTTGCATGAAAATATTTGTAGTTGAAAATATTCTATCCAATCCATGCAGAAAAGGTATTTTCTGAATAACAGACAAAATAGGTATTCTTTGAAGACCAATTTTGGTGGGAGGGAGGATTTTGTGCCGATCTAGGTGAACAATGTTATTGCTGAGAGAGGTATTGGCATCACAAAGCAAGCACTATCATGTTCCCGGCCGGGTGAAACCTTGGGCAAGTTTCCTTACTCCACACAGAGCCTAATAATAATCCCTCCAAATCCCAAAACAATAATAAATTGGTCATTTCCAATTGGCTGCCGCGTTCGCCCACAAATATACAGTCAATTCACTTTACAGTCTGTTCTGTGAAGCGCTTTGAGACGTCAAGAAGACGTGAAAAGCGCTATATCAAATGCAAGGATTATTATTATTTAGTTATCTAACAACAGCCTGCTTCGCATCCCCCGCCTTGCCCGCCCCACCATTGGCGGGTGGGCCTGCTGCCACTCTGCCTCTACCGTCTGGACTCCATCCTGCAGTACCTTCGCCTTGCCCCCTCCCTTGCCTCCTTCAAGACCCATCTCAAGACCCTCCTCTTCGACCGTGCTTTCGATCAGCCTCCTTTCCCCCCACCTGCCCTCCACCCTCCCGATCCCAAGCTCAGGTCCAAAACACTGACTGTCCAGCTCCTTGGGACGTCCTCCCGACGTGAAAGGCACTACCCACATGTAACGTTGTTGTTTCTAACTTTCTAAAGGAATAATTGTTCTATAATCATACTGTCAGAAAGAAAACTGTGCAATGAATCAATTCTTGCATTTGAATATCAACTAAGTGCAAGATTCTGCATAATGGCAGTGCTGAAGATAATGGGAGGGTAATGAGATATGGTACAGGGGCCGGGTGAAATTGTTCGGGGGCTGGGGTGACCTCCCCTTAAGAAATTTCATTTCAATCACCTACAGTAAGGAATGCAAAAAGCCAGTAAAACAAAGCTGCGTGTCTTACCCTTCAGATGAGTTGTGCTCTCTCTATTGCTTATTCCACAATTTCCTGCAGGTAAACAGGGAGCTCCATGAAGTACGGTCACAGAACAAAGCATAAATGTCATCAATTCAATACAAAAATCTTTGGTCGACGGAATATTTATTTCTGCAGCTGCCACGTATTTTGCAGTGCTATGATATGTATATACATATTATGTATGTTTAATGGGCCAATATTGTGATAAATACTGCACTAACGTTTACACTATAGGCAACTCAAGGGTTATGTGAAGCATTGGGTTTATACATTGTTTTTGCCTCTGGAATCTGCGTTTGAGTCCAGTCCCCACTGACGGTCTTCTCTCTCTCTTCAATTGCTATCCAGTACAGTGGAACTCGGCCAGTTCCTGTTGACCCCTCTACCCCATTGTCCATACACCCTAAGCGCTCTGAGACGCCGTCCAGCGTGGAGGGCGCTATATAAATCCAAGTTGTTGTTGTTGTCATTGTCGGACTCCGCCACTGTCCCAAGTGAAAGGCGCTATATAAATGCAAGTTGTTGTTGTTGTTCCACCCGTTACCCCCCCCCCAAAAAAAACAGCAAAATAGCTATGATATTCTTATTATGTTTAAGAAAAAGCAAGGTGGTCTCCTCTTGCTCACTGCTGTTGTGGTCCACAGAACCATGTCTGAATGCCGGTACAGTGGGACATAATAATCTTCTGGCTCTGTGGGAACATACAACACGATGGGGTAGCAACAATAATTAGAGCAACTGTAACATCCAACTTGGTTTACAAGTAATTGTGGTCAAGTGTTATGATGCTTTATTAGCAGCCAAATAGAATTGTGTAAGATGGATCCACAAACATCCATGAAGTGAATGATGAATATATCTTGAAGACCGTTGGCCCAGACATCTAGACAAACTCGGTTTCTCTTGAAATTCCAGAGATGAAATGGAATAACGCACTCTCTCCCTGGAGGGACGCACCCTGCTTACCAATTCCAGAGAATATTAGGCACAGGTTGGCAAGAGCCAAAGCTTTGGGACCCCAGAGTGTAGATGGGGTGACTGCTGGAGTCGGACAAGCACAGCTTCGAGCCCTCACCCCAGTGGATGCCAAGTACCAGCAAGGCGCTGTGAGTCCCTGTGAGCTTCCTGGTGGATAATGCAACTCAGCACAGAACGCAGAAGAGCACTGCCACACATCTGTGTCTCCGCAGCTCAGGCAAACGTCCCTTCCCACTGAGCGATAGTTCCACCAGTTGGAGATGCAGAGCTTATTAATTCATCTGGGCCTCAAGCAGCAGCTG